TTTAACTTTTGAATAAAGTGGTGACAATATTCTACATTACTTGGTATCAAATATTGCCACGATTTTGTCCAAAATCTATAGTTGATGACACAAATACAATTCACAAGCCCAATTTGTCGGGCACACCCTTGTTTCAAGCATACTTGTACATTAAATTCTCGACTCACTAATTTCATTCAAGATTCTTGTTGGTTTAAATATCGCAAGTTACGCTGAAACCACTTCAAAACTCATTTGATTTTGACTTTGATCATCACTAGTACTTTAAACTTCTACTGTCTTCAACTAAGATAAATTAATACGTGTTTTCTTAGACGAGCTAAGCAAGCCAAAATTGCAAGACTAACATATTGAACCCAAAAGTCCGTGCAGAAGCGACCACGGCCAAAAACTGGTCCCTAACCCAAGTTGTTGATATTTTAGTGCTCTCGATATGACTTTTATCAAACTTCTATGAATCTAATTCAGGGACCGACGAAGACATTTTAAGTTAGTGGTATAATCAAACTTACAAAAAAGTTGTGATGAATTTTACATTCAAAAATTTACCTTCAAAAAAAATTATACATTATGTAATTTTATATCCGAAAATTTACATGGAATACGACTTTTTCAGATGTAAAGTTCAAAGATTTTTAATGTCATATTTCATGTAAAATTTCCTAATAAAATACTGTAAATAATATTGAGAAATTTGTATTGCAAAAATAATAATAATTGAATTTTTTAAAGAAAAGAAGAGTTAGACGTCATTTTTAAGGCTCATGTTTGACAAATTTTTAACTATTTTCAATATCGGTTTGAATTATTCGATATGCTTATGATATAGTTCTCAAAACGTGCTTCGAGATGACATAGACGGTCTGTGGATTCGGCTAGCATACAATCGTCGAATTTTTTTTAAAATTAACATGTTATCGAAATTCTCAAAATACCAGTTTGGAACGAACTACTTTGACAAGTCGTAACATTTGTTACAGTTGGCCGTTTTGTACTCCATTAACTACATAGAAAATTCGATCGTGAACGCTTCGAAATGATATTAAGAATGTAATATTTCGATTTTATTTGACATTCTAAAATTATTACAAAAATATAGAAAAAAGTTAGCCCCAGCCCCAGGGTAACGCGATCCAGGTCACCCGTGTCCGTCCCTGTCTAATCTTATAATGTTGCCAATTAAGGACAATATAGTACTTGTTCATAGTACTAGCAAGTTGTCACTTTTTTGGTCCAAAAGTCGATATTTCACACTAGCAATACTCGACGCAAAAAATTAGGTACGCCGTCCACGTGCAATGCACGTTCTGGTGCCATCTTTACCGCATACGCATCTCATGGATCATTGTTGCGTGGTCTGCAGTTGTACAATAGTTTCTTATTTTCAAAATTTTAGATTTTATTCGAAAGGAAAAATTACTTCGTTTTACTCATAAATGATGGCATTTGGATGTCTAGAAGTCAATTTTCGTGACACTTGAATCTCGACCAATATGGAAAATTGATCTAAAATTCCATGAAGGTTTGATATAGGATTACACTACGTACATATATACAGTTTTGTATGATTTAGCCTCTGTTTGACTCAATTTTAATGTGTCATTGAGAAAAATGTATTTTAGAATAAAGATTTTTTAAAAATAAGTGATTAAAAAAAATTAAATTTACGTATAATATTATTTTATTGAAAAATATGCGATTAAAAGGAGGTGAGAGAAAAATGCATTAAAATTAAAATGAAACTCAGAAACTTAGTTTTAAAACAAAAATATAAATAAAAAATTTGTATCATTGATCTAATATGTCATTTAAAAAACGTGACATTACTCTTGATAAGTTAAAATGAGCTCTTCAGACTTTAAAGTTACTTTTCGCCCGTTTGATAAAATTTATAAAAGTGATTCTTTTCAGTAAAAGAGTTTTTAAAGAAAGTTCACCCAATGTGACTTTTTATAATAGTTTATCAAAAAGAAAAATATCGTTTACAAATTAATTTTCAAATACTAATAAAGTGGAAGCAAAATAAAAAACGCTGTCAAACGGGTCCTTAGATTTGACCAAAAAAAAAAAACTTTTTGTTAATTATGAAAAGTAATATATTGTTATGTCAACTATCACATAACAATAATGATCATATACAATTATTAAAGTGTGGCAAATAGGAGAACTCATCAAGTAGTATAAAGAGAAAAGATGCAAGAAGCTTGAAATTATCAAGAGTCTTAACAAATTAAATTTATTATTAATAAATTAGAGTAGCGTCGAGAACATTTTTTTTCCTTCGTTATTTCTACTAAAAGAGGTAATACGATTAGGTCATTGATCGCAATCACCAAAGATCGTGATAATTTTCATCTGTTTTTTTTTATTATTTTAACTTTACTTCGAATCTTACCCTATAATAATTAAATTTATGTATAGGCATGAAGCGTCACGAACAAGACAAATCAAACCCACGAAAGCATCTCACTCTTTAATTAATATTTTTATCAATTATAATGCTTTAAATAATTAATATTATTATAATAAATTTAGTCAAAAATTCTATTAAGTTATAACTAAAAACAGATCATGACATTATGATTTAATTATTGAAGAACAAAACCCACTAATCAGATTAAAAATTGTGAATACAATCAAAGCAAAGTACAAATCAGACGTTCATTAAATATTAAACTAGATCTACAAATCTTTCCTTAATTAATTAATAATAAACGACGTCCGTAAGCAAGCAACTGTATCTGATTTTTTTATTTTTATCATTTTAGTCAGACTGATTCTTTGAAATGAAAAATAATTAATAATGTGAAAATATTTGCAGGAAAATGCAGCGTATACATCGAACTTTTAATAAATAATTAATTATTAATTGTTCATTTAAGGTATTTTCTATGTAGTCAAATCATACCTTAATTTTTCAATAGAAAAACGAGCAAGTGGGTGTTTTTTAGTTTTTAAGTAATTTTCTAAATAATTGTGAGGTGCAGGGAAAGTCGAGTGAAACTGCGATACTAATTTACTTACGAATTTTGCTCTGTGTACAAAAGATACATCCACAGAAATTCAACAAATTAGACACAGCAGGTGAGACCCTTTTTTCAAATATTTTAAACTCACATAGGGCCCACACTCATGTGAGTTTTCTGTTATGTTGGAATTCTTCTGTACAAATGCATTTCCTCTTTACTTAAATGGAATTCTTGGAACATTTGGAATACACATCCTGTAATTTATCATGTAAATCAGAGAGTGCAATATCGAGTTTTTAGTTGATTAATAGCTGAATAATAATAATAATAGATGAATTTGATATGATCTATGTTTTATTGAGATGTTGGATTTCGATCCTTGGAGCTTGGATTACAAGGGGTCGATTCAAGAGTATTGCCCTCTCACGACACAGTTGCTCTCGAAGAATACCGAAAAATAACGAATAGTTGGAAGCGATGAAGTTGATCACGGAATTCAATTGTTCAAAGAAATGAAAAACATGTTAATCTACAATGTAATGCTTCCATACCAAGTCCACAAAAAAGATTTCGATTTTTTAATTTGAACAAAATACTTCCTTAAATATTATTTGAACTCAAGGTACAAGATTTGACGGGCGACATTATGTCAATTTTTTTGGGGAAATGAGCATGACGGTAGAGTGTTCGATGGACTATACAAACGATCGCATCTATTAAGACAGTTATCCTATTTGATACATCGAATATAAATATCAACAAATTTTATTTCTAGCCTCTCATTTATATTTGTATGTATCTCGTGATTCTAGATATAAAATAAGTTAATCAATCTTGCTACATTTACATCATGATTTATGCCCGACTTACTGAATATAAACGTAATATAATCTCACATCATTTTTCACATCTCACGCGTTTAATCTATAACACTTCAATACCATCAGTCTGTCAATCAAACTGTATAAATTTACATGACTCAACCTCCACTCAAATCAATGGTGACCATCCAAAATATCCCCAATCATATTCACTTATTAAATAGTTGAAAGTGACCTCCCAAGTTAAACATTTTCCCAGAAATTTAAGGTGAATGATACAACTTGTCTAGAAACCTAATCCCTCATGAATCACTCTACATCCGTGTGAATTGTGATGTTTCTCTTTAAAAATTATTTTTGAAAAATTGCATCACTCGTCCCCAACTTATTGATCTAGTAATAATTTTATCCTCAACTTAGAAAAAGCATTTGGAGTAACTTGTTAATTAAGTAATAAATTGAAAATAATTGGTCTATTTTTTCATTATTTTTTCTTGCTTTTGCCATCACCTTAAACTGTGGCATGTTGACCTGATTGATGCACCTTCTATAGCGTGGAAATTACTTGACAAAATACAAGAAAGTATAATCCAAATTTTCAACACAAAATTTATGTAAAATTAACTAAACTTATTCTCATTTAAAAAATTCGCACAAAGTTTTATAGCGTATTTAGTATGTTAAATTAGATAAGATTACACAATATAAACACATGAAATATTTATGAGTTACTGTAATTGCGTTCCTGTTTTGTTTTACTAAAATTAATTTTTAGTAGATTCTGATAAAAAAAATTAATGACATGTGTAGGTGAAAGAAGTTGATAAAATTTGTGAATCTCATAAATGATTAAAATTAATTTTTGAAGACGACTTATATTTTTATCAACTTTTTTAACTAAGCAATACAAGTGCTAAACATGATTTACGAGATTCATCGAAAATCTTGTGGAGTTAATTGGAAGGGATCGTGTCCAAAAAAGTAGAAAATGAAATAAAGCTAACCCTATTTATCTTGTCAAGCATCTCTTTCACACTCACATTAAAAAGAAAAAGAAAAATTAAATGCATTAAATATTCTTAATTTCCCCCTCTACTCAATTGGACTGGAACTGCAATTATCCCTCTCCCTCTATATAAACCTTTCCAATTCGATTCTCTCTCCTCATCCCTCGTCTCTCCTCTTTTTGTGTAACCTTTCTGTGTTAACAATGGCGGGAACCCAACAAAAACGCCAAAGAGAAGAATCCCGTGAAGAAGAAGCAGAAGCTAGCCGAGTTGAGTTTGGTAAGCGTCAAAACTCGCACAATAGCATACTCTCCATTCTTGATGATGAGCAAGAGTATGACCCAAATCAAGATTTATCAGCAATTTTCACAACCCTTCAAAAAGAACTCTCATGTTCAAGTACTACTTCCACTTCCACTTCCACCACCACCTTCGACTTTGACCATCTGCTGTCCATCACGGGGGAAGAAGCTGAGTTAGAATTAGATTGTCAACATGACCAAGCTGCCGGCGGTAAGGAAAATGATGAAGAGAAAGACGACGGCGTTAGAGTAATGAAACACCTCCTTGAAGCTTCTGATGATGAGCTTGGGATACCTAACAGAGTGGATGGAGAAATAAATTCAAGCGAAAATCCTCCTCCCTTTGCCTTTTCCGATGGACTGTGGGAGCTTGAAGATGAGACTTCTTATTACTATTCGATTTTGCAGTCTGAACTTTTTATGTAACATTTGGGGTTAAATGAAACAATAGGAAAACTTTAGGGATGTAAAGAGGAAAAGAAAAGGAAAGAAAATGGACGCATTTTTGGGTTTCTCATTTTGGTCCCTTATCTATTGTATAATATCAAATGTAACCCTCTGTTAAGTCTAGAGACTATAAGATTTTAAAAAGTGTAAGCGAAACCAAATGATAAACTTTATGGATCATGCTACATGTACTGAATTTTTTTTATCGAATCTTTTACCTACTACTCATAATGGGGATGTGGACCACATTGTCGAAATTTTTAAATACATGCAGGTCCCGCGCATTATGTGAGAGAGGGTAATCCATTATGTACAAACCATTATGTACAAATTGATTAACCCAAACTTTATTGTTGTGTTGTGGAGGAAATGATTGGTATCGTCGATTACATTAAACTTGACCAAAATATAAAAGAAAGATACATTGATAAGATTTATGTAGGTCCATTTCGTGGAGTTTTTATTTTTAGTTCTACTTTTTGTAGAAGAATTTTTTATCTTAATAAGAAGAAAGTTGATTTTTGATCTTAGAAATAACTTTTGATTAAATATAGAATATCATCTTCTTAAAAAAATAAAAGTAACTTTATTTTTCTATTTTGAAATTCTTTTCGCGAGTGCTTCGTCAAGAATCATTTTCCTTTTTGAAGTAAAGTTGCCTCTTTTGGTAAAAGAAACGCAATTGTGGGTATCGTGTTGTGCGAATTTTCTTTTTAAAGTAAACTATTTTTACTCTCACAAAGATTAAAATGTACATGTATTAATACGAGGTGACCACAATCCACGTTACTGAAAAGATATTGTTTCGTATCGTCGATGTTAATTTGTCATCCTTTAACTTTTAACAAATCTTAAAACAAAAGTAATGAAATGAATAAAGTGATGGTGTTCAACTTGACTTTGTTAATTCAAATTTGAATATTTATTTATTTAATTCAGTAATATTGATTAAAATAAACTCTTCTTTACTCAACGGTTTTCATGATGCACGACTTTTGTAATGTATGCAAGAAGCACATGGTAAAGACTAAAACTCACCATACAACATTCCTCTTTCTTGTGTATATAAAATATAAGTAACAATTAGAGTTTGGATTAACTTAGTTCATTTTGGTAGGATTTCGCTTTTCTTTCTATTCTTTGTTGAGAGCTTCCAGAGGAAGTTAATTTCGACATCATTTGGCATGACTTCTATTTCTCATGAAGAAAATACGCGCTAGGATAGTCATGTTAACAAGTCGAGTCGAGCCAAGCCACGAACCGAAACTCGAAGCTCGGACTCGATTTGCGTAAAAAGAGTTTGAGCTTTTTTTAGCCCGAATCGAGCTCGGCCAAAAAATTGAGGCTCGACCAGAGCTTTCGGCTCGAGCCTTAGCGAGCCGAGTGAGCCCGAGCGAGCCGACTCAGGGTTTTTTTTTCTCTTCTCGTGTGAGAGAATTGCCTACACATTGCATGCAGCTACTTCTATTTTTTTTCCTTCCTACTTGCAGGCAGCGGTTTCAAATTATTTTTAAGGCTCGAGCCACATTGGCTGGCTCGGGCTCAAGCCTTTGCCCCAAAATGGGGCTCCACCCGAGATGGATGACTCGAGCAGACGAGCCATTTTGCCATCCATACACTAGGGTGAAGTTTATGTTAACATATTGAAGGAAACACACTTAAAACAATTATACCCTTCACAAGGTTGACATTTGTTGTTTAAATGCACATGTAACAACCTAATGATTAATTCCCCCACCCAAACCTATAGTTTAGGGACAATGCTGCCTAAAAAATAAGGTTGCAACCTCCTAATATGTATGTTGATAACAATTGTCAAAATCAAAATTGTAACATATGCTCCAAGGTCCTATCAAACTAAAGGCCCCCCATATAGTTTTCAGAATAATTTTCATATATTTTTCAATTATAAATTATTTATCCTCACATATTGTTTTACTTTACGATATGGGAATTATATTTACCCTTAAAATATTCAAATACTTTTATTAGGATACTTTGAGTCATAGACCTATAATGAAATATACAATAAATTAACATTTGTCAAATTTGAAAAAGAATCATTTCGATCCTCTCATTTTGATTTCTCAAATCGAGAAATTCATGATTCGGGATCATGATGCATACAGATACAAATAATCCAACGAGAGAAAGAGCATTTGAAATATTTCATTTCTGAACAGAAGAATAATTTGTAACTAGTCAATCAATCACGCATTAATCAAGACTCGATTGATTGGGATAGACAATGGTCAAAAATAGAGATGGGTATCAACTATTAGGCAAATTGCCATAAAATTTTCATGGCATGGATCTACAACATTATTGATATTAGCTGTCAC